ATTGTAAGACGCCAAATCGTGTTTCGAGACACCTGGAAACCTATCAGTTTTTCCCGTCTTATAACTATTCGGTCGTTATATTCATTTCGTTAGAGGGTCACCTATATATTTAAGGGCCTTTATTTTACTATATGAATATATAGTTTGATGATATCAGTACTGAATTAAGGTTAGTTCCATATCAGTGACTGCCATTAAGTAGAAGCTCTTGAAATTAATTAAGCTGATGATGATCTTCGCTCCCGACATCCAGAAAATGAAGTTACCCGGTCCGCCTGCGACCTTCGAGCGCTGAAAGTTAGAGTGACCGACCGAGTTTTGCAGTTAAGCCTAAATAATAATAAATAAATAATAATTTCTATAAAATGTTTAGATGCTTGCAAATTTTATTTCGTATATTGGGTTGACAAGAAAGTAATTTCGGTTTTGAATGTGAAATAAATCTCAATTTTTTATATGCAAAATATGAATTTTAATCAGTCAAATAGCACCCATTCTGTTCACTGATTTTTTGCCACGTTTCTGGTACTTCATGATTCCACGCTCGTAGAACTTCTGGTCTTTATCGCAAAAACCTCAAATCAGGTGCGAGTTAAGGTCATCGTTGAGGTCATGACGTGTTTATTTGTGAGCCTCAGCTGCTTTCTTGCTTTTATGGAAATAAAAAGCAATGTATGTCGAAAATGTTTATTTTTGCACTCTATGTTAAATCTGACCGTAAACTAACAGTTGTAAAAAAAAAGTTGGAATTTGTTTCATTTAAACATATTGGATGAATAGTTAACAAATTTTGAATTAAATCTACTTCGTAGATAGCGCATAAACCACAATAGAATAAATGCACTCTTTCAAGTTCGATATATTTATTTACCATAGCGACACTTCTGCGCTAGGCTCACTTAACAGCATTACATCTCATTCATTTTATAACTCAAGTGCACAAAAATTATATCATCTGAAGAATTATCACATGTTCCATTCAAATACTATAATAAATCTAAAACGATATATAAAAGAAATTAAACAAATAAAAAGGAAACAGTTTTCACAGACAATTCAACGCCGCTTACCTAATGCGCATGCGCTCCTAATTAATTCAATTCTCACTTCGCGACGAGGCAAAAATAGATAAAAAATTCAAAATATTTTCATTAAAAATTTAAAGATATAGAAAAGCATAAAACACCGAGTACAGTTAAAACATTAAAACACCAAGTACACCAAGTACATAAAACAATTAAAAAAAGTATTTTTACAATTAAAATTGCAGTTTCTACGCAAAAACAAGCTAATAACTTAAATAATAATTACAGAAGGAGTTAAGCATCATTTAATTCGCAATAATAAAAGAAGACATTACTTTGTTGTTGCAATGCTTAGTCTCTCTAGATTGGCAACAAATCCACTATTCTGCTAAGTTTTAAATATAAACAAATATGGCTGCCATGCTAATCAAAAAGTAGGTTTAGCCGCACTTGAAAAACTTTTAAATTGTTAATAATTCTACAATTATTGCATGCAGGTTAAGTAAAGTCATAAAATCCTTAACCTGAAGATAAGAACAACGTAATTCAATTATTTTTTAAGAAAAAAATGCACAATTTACAAAGATATAAGAATAACGAACTGAGCTCACTGAGCCGAGTAACAGTGTGGATACATATATACATATATTTCTATACATTTGCTGCGGCCGATTGCAACCAAAATTTGATGTGTACGCCTACATGTTATAGCAGTTCTATATACAAAATTTCAACTGAGATTACTCGTTTTTGAGTTATGCGAAATACATACATACATACGTACGTTCATACGTACAGACGCCCCCAAAAAAAACCTCTTCAGAATTATTTTAAATCAGTTTTATAATGTTTTGAGGGAAAAAGAGTTCTTTATTCTTTCCTTACGTACGGATGCCCCGTAAAAACATCGTTAAATTGCATTCGATAGCAGTAAAAATGCATATTTGCGTCGAAATATGATGCCCGAAATTTTTCGCTACTACAATCCTTTCTTTTTACTTCGTATAAGGAAGTAAAAATATAAGACTGACAGAAGAATAGCAAAACAACATAATCCTATCTATTTGTGCGAATCGAAGTTACTTTCTTGCTAAGCCGATAATCTAGAGAGAAAAGTCCTCATATTTATAATTAAAATAAAAACTCAAAATTAGTTCATATGCAGTATTAGTAATAATGATTATATTGTCATTTTTAAATTATTTCTGTAGAATAATAAAGTAAAAACTATAAAAAATTGAAATATCAATGCCTGTTATGCCCTATCCGCATATTTACGTACAAACTTTTAAGCCCCTTGCACTGCACGAAAGATTTCCATATTCTGAAGGCATATTGTAACCATGCTGCGTTTTATATTCATAGAATAAAATAATAAATAATGTTCATAACAACAAGACTAACACTCAAGAAAGTCTACTCATTAAGTTTTGCAGCCTTCTGACATAATTTATGTGCTTTTAAGGTTTGAAATAGTACTCTGTTTCAACGTATCAAATACACTTTTAGATTAAAAGAAAAACGACGCACCACGACGCAACGAGAAAATGTAAAGCAAATTGGACACAAATTGATATGCATACTGGTTTCGACGGAAAATGAAAAATTTTACATTTTGGCTGCCAATGAATGAACGGTTGTCACTACAGCGCATCTGATCTGCGCAACTGGCAGGATATTTAAGAGGAGAAATTACGATTTCAGGTCATAAATTCTTCACGAATTTCATTCCGTGTGCTCTGGTAGACAGTAACTATGCCTCGCATACAGTTGCGCGAACGATATGCGCGGATGTCAGAATTCGAGAGAGGTCCTGTAGTTGGGCTCAAAGAAGCCGGTTGGTTTTATCGGCGAATAGCTCGACATTTGAGCAGGAGCGATGCCACTATTAGACGATGTTGGCGGGAATGGGTGAACCATTGCCGCACACAGGGTCAAGAAGGAAGCGGTAGGCATAGAGACCGACAGAACGTGAAGACCGAGCAATCGTCAGAGCGCCACTCACAGCCCCAGATGTATCATTATCATCGATTGTACGTGCAACTAGTGCTTCAGTGACCGCAAGGACCATTCATAAACGGCTCACAGAAAGGGGCCTGAGGTCATGGCGCTCCTTGCGCCGACTACCATTGACATCTGTACAACGTTAAGCCCGTTTGCAGTGGTGTCGGGCTCATTCGCACTGGAATGTCATTGACGGGAGTAGAATGGTCTTCAACGATGAGTCCCGCTTTGAACTGAGCCCCGATGACCAGCGAAGGCGAGTCTGGAGACGCCCCGGACAGCGGTGTTATACCAACCTGACTGTCTTCCGGCAGACAGGCCGACAACCAGGAGTGATGGTCTGGGGTACCATTTCATTTCATAGTAGGACACCTTTGGTTGTCATTTGTCACAACATTACAGCACAGCGGTACGCCGACAAAGTTCTAAGGCCTGTTGTGTTGCCCTTCATGTCACGCCACCCTGGGCTTACATTTCAGCAAGATAATGCCCGCCCCCACACTGCACATGTTCTACTGCTTGCCGAAACATTACCTTGGCCAGAAAGGTCGCCGGATCTCTCTCCTATTGAGCACGTTTGGAGCATTATAGGCAGGGCCCTCCAACCAGCTCGGGATATTGATGATCTAACGCGCTCCAGTTGGACAGAATTTGGCACGATATCCCTTAGGAGGACATTAGTAACCTCTATCACTCGATGCCAAGCCGAATAACTGCTCGCATAATGCCCAGAGGTGGACAAACGCGTTACTGGCTTTTCACTTTATGAAGCTCTATCACCAATAAATCATCCAATTTTTCTCAAACTGTAATCATTTGTTTTTCTGTACATGTACATCACTTCTACCGATTTTCATCCCATTCGGATAACTCCTTCTTGGTGCGTCGTTTTTTTTTTTTTTTTCTTCTTTTGTCTAAGAGTGTATCATAAGGTGGGTCAGCAATCACACTTCGTCCCGTATCACATGATACATTGGGCTCACAAGAGAAAATTGAAGCGTATATCATAAAATTATACGCTGTGAGCAAAGACGTTGTGGACATGCTGTACAATAACTACAGTATTTCAGGATACACTATTGCAGCCCCAAAATTCTCAAGGAGGAATGTTACAAAAGCTGTTGGTACAAAACATGTTAACAAAACTCAAAGTGATGGTACTAAAATGTTTTGGATAATGATGGAATGAATGAAAGTTACAATGTAGGTTTTCGTAATGAATCATTGCGTATTATATACCACTCTAATGCATTGTGAAAAGCAACAGATCAACACTAAAATAAGGAATTTTACCTAGCCTTAGGTGGATTCGATGAAGATGAACGTTTTATTGAAAGGTTTTGCTTTTAACTTATGAGAAATTATCATACGTAATCTCCATTAAAGATAAACACACTCAGAAATAAACAAAAAATGAACCTTTGTATCGTACATAACGGATGCTAAATATAAAGAAGTAAGTGAGCGTTAGGCTTTCTGTTAAAATTATCATTTCACGTGGTAAATTCACGCAGATTTTCTGATTCCCATACTTTTCTAATTTTTTCAATTCACATCCAGTTTCTCTAAATTCTTACAGCCCTTACCTATAATTATTCGTACTGTTGAATAAATGACGAATATTCAAATATTGTCTTCTTTCTGCTATGTTTCTATTGCACATTTAGCCGTGTTATCTCAGTCCATGTTCCAAGAATGAAACAAATACGCAACTTCATTCACCCGTGCAAAAGCATTCTGCACTCATCAAATGTCTAATGTCTAAAACTTTTAAACGGTGACTTTGGCGTCATACAGTAAATCTTTCAATCAAAACTGTAGGGCTAATAATAAAATTCTCAAGAAGTCATAAGTTATACACAATTTTTTAACATATTGGGAGCTCTGAGCTCAGAACCAATGTGCCTACTCATTTGTATGTTTTTTTTTTCCTATTCTAAGTTTCCTAATTTCTCTTTTAACTGTCTGCAGCCATTTGTCGTTCATCCTGCGGTGATGGCCGTTGCATCCGACCCAATACTTGCTACTGTGGAAACAGACAATTTGCCCCAACTTGCGGAGGTGGAGGTATCACACCAGGAGGAGGAGGTGGAGTACCTGATACTGGACCTGGCAGTCAGCAACAGCTAGGTAAATGATTTTTAAGGCCATAGATTCGCGAACAAAAGTATTGGCTTTTCAAAAATAAACATTCCTAAAAGGATAAATTTAAATGCAGAAATCAATTAATTGTATAAAGGTGGGAAACTGATCTTACATACTGTGAGGCATTTAAGGTATAATTGTTTTCTGTAACTGTAATTTATCTTCATTTCCTTCGTGTATGGAGCAATAAGAACATTTTTGTATTTATTAAAATCTATTACAGTTACTTTCGTGTTATAACTATGCTCTATATATTTCGGTTTCCGATAATATATAGTTTTTGCCTTGCTTAGAATTACATCGAAATAAAGCGACCAGTAAATACGGACCAAGTAACAAAACATAAATTCTTCAGTTAAGGCTCTATAAATATACTAACTGTCTCGATGTAAATAACTTCCTAGAATGGTAAAAGGGTGTTCCATTAAACATATGCAGTTACCTATGCATGTTTATTAACAAATTTTCCATTTCAGGAAAACATGAATTCCAAATAACTACTGAAAACATGTACATATAATAAGTCAGACATATATTAAAATAAAAAATTGTTATGCACAGGGACTGTCAAAAATAACTGAAACACACTGCTTAAAAGCTTAATTTTGCTTCTTTCGATTAGGAACTAACTCTTAAAAGTAACCACAACACTGGTGCAATTATTTTACATGATTATCAAGATAGTGTAAAATTGCAAATTTCAGTTGTGATCTATAGAACCTAGTTCGTAGTGAAGGAAAAGAAGTGACTTAATTGCATTAGGAAAAGGAGGTCAGATTATTGCTACCTGCCATTTTTGAGCATCCGTAATCTCATTTGTAAACTTTTGGGCGGATATCGACCGTTGGAACTTACTAACAGAGCTAAAAGGATGACTGTTTGTCAAAAAGAATGCCTACTAGAAACAGAAGCTACTGCTATATATTACCTACAAAGACCAGTTTCGATACACACGAAGGGAACTGCTTGAGCAGAATATTTATGTTAGAAATTATTAACTTAAAACCTGTTTATTCACAAACAAATGCAAAATAGAGACTACATTGCTGCTGAAAACATGAAATGTTGATCAATAGAAACAAAACCTGTTCTCAAATGACTCAATTTCCATACTGGTTTCTGCCACAAGATGAGTTATATGCAAAGAACACCAGCAGAAGTTTACGATCCAAATTATCTGCTTACTATAATCAAACGTAGTATTTACTGTCGTATGCTAATTAAGAAGTCAAACAACAAAAATCAGCGTGAATTTTCAAAATTTTCACAGGACTAGTTTCGATGGTTTTACCGAACTACCATCCTCAGCTGCAAAACCGCAAACGAACAAGATAGGAAATAATGATTAGATAAGATAAGAAAGCCTGGACAAGAATAAGCAAGTGGCGCCATCTGTTGGTGAAACCAGATCTAAAACATAATTTCATTAAAGGCCAAAGGCAAAGATGGATTGGAATTAGGATCGTTAACAAGAACAGAAAGATTTTTTAATGTGAAATGCCTCTAGAAAATCCAGTTCTCCAATGGAAGATGTTTTGTGAATAATTTTGGCAGCAGAAAATTGAAAGTGAGATTTTCGGACCAACAATGTTGAGCAACAGAAGACTTATGTGTTTCCTTTTTTCTAACATATGCCTCATGTTTCTTGGCGCGAGATTTTAAGGCTCTCTTAGTTTGGGCACTGTAAATTAAACCACACTAGCAAGGAATCCTATAAATACCCCAAGAATTCATATCCGGAATGGGGTCCTTGAGTATGGAACTCGGAATTTTATTGATGGGAGAATAAACAACCCGAAAGTTAAATTTCTGCAAAATATGTGCAACTTTATAGCTAATTGATGGAAAGAAGGCAATAACAACAGAATTTTTATAATCTCCTAAAACAAGAGTGGGCCTTTTAGTGTGTTGAGATGAGAATTTTTAAACTGCTTGATTAATAATGTTGGGTGAAAAGCCCCTGTCAATAGCTATTGCTTTTAAACAATTTAGTTCTTCATCAAGGGCTAGTTTGGAGGAGCAAACTTGAAGGGCATGGAAAACATAGGAATAAAATGAAGCTAACTTTGGTTTAGTCGGATGACATGATTTAAAGTGTGGTGAAAGGCAAACCGATGAAGGTTTACGGTAAACCGTAGTACTGAAGTTGGATGTGTGACCAGAATGTCGAGAAACGGAAGAGAATTGCAAGTCTCAAGTTCAGAAGTGAACTGAATAGCAGGATCAATAGAATTCATTGTTGAAAGAACTTTATTTAAATCATCTTTATTACCTTCAAACAGAGTGAAAGTATCGTCTATGTAGCGGAACCATGCCGGGAAGTTTAAAGTTTCAAACAATTTTGATTCATAATAATGCATGTAGATATCAGCCAGGATTGGGCTCAGGGGGCTTCCCATGGATAATCCCTCAGTTTGCTTGTAATATTTATTTTGGTAAACAAAATGTGTTTGTTTCAAACAGAGTTGAGAGAGAGAAATTAGCTCATCAATTTCGATGCAAGAAAAATGAAATTCGCGAAGTCTGGTTTCTAGACATCTTAATCCACCCTCCAATGGAACATTGGTGAATAATGATTTTGCATCAAAAGAAACATGAGTAAATTTCTAGGAGAGATGTTTTTAACCTTTTTTACAAACTCTATTGAATTTTTTATGGTGTAAATGTTATTGTCTAATAGAGTTGAAAAGCTAGAAACTAAATATTTAGCTAAGGGATACGAGGCAGTACCTAAATTTGATTCAATAGGACGGAAAGGAATACCACTTTTATGAATTTTGGGAAGAGCATATAATCTGGCACAATTCGCAACAGATGGGATAAGCGAATGTTTTAAGTTGCTTGAAATGATTTGTGAAGATTTGATCGCAGTTTTTATTTTTGACAAGTTCGAAAGTGAAGGATCTTTAGGGATCGGAATATATGGTCCTTCGTTTAAGAGTTTAAAACATTCGCTTATCCCATCTGTTGCGAATTGTGCCAGATTATATGCTCTTCCCAAAATTCATAAAAGTGGTATTCCTTTCCGTCCTATTGTATCAAATTTAGGTACTGCCTCGTATCCCTTAGCTAAATATTTAGTTTCTAGACTTTCAACTCTATTAGACAATAACATATACACCATAAAAATTCAATAGAGTTTGTAAAAAAGGTTAAAAACATTTCTCCTAGAAATTTACCCATGTTTTCTTTTGATGTAAAATCATTATTCACCAATGTTCCAGTGGAGGGTGCATTAAGATGTCTAGAAACCAGACTTTTCGAATTTCATTATTCTTGCATCGAAATTGATGAGCTAATTTCTCTCACTCAACTCTGTTTGAAACAAACACATTTTGCTTGTAATATTTATTTTGTAAAACAAACTGAAGCAAACTGATGGATTAGCCATGGGAAGCCCCCTCAGTCCCATCCTGGCTGATATCTACATGCATTATTAGGAATCAAAATTGTTTGAAACTTTAAACTTTCCGGCATGGTTCCGCTACTTAGACGATACTTTTACCCTGTTTGAAGGTAATAAAGATGATTTAAATAAAGTTCTTTCAACAATGAATTCTATTGATCCTGCTATTCAGTTCACTTTTGAACTTGAGACTTGCAATTCTCTTCTGTTTCTCGACATTCTGGTCACACGTAACACATCCAACTTCAGTACTACGGTTTACCGTAAACCTTCATCGGTTTGCCTTCCACCACACTTTAAATCATGTCATCCGACTAAATAAATGTTAGCTTCATTTTATTTCTATGTTTTCCGTGCTCTTCAAGTTTGCTCCTACAAACTAGCCCTTGATGAAGAACTAAATTATTTAAAAGCAACAGCTATTGACAGGGGCTTTTCACCCAACATTATTAATCAAACAGTTAAAAAATTCTCATCTCAACACACTAAAAGGCATACTCTGTTTTAGGAGATTATAAAAATTCTGTTGTCATTGCCTTCTTTCCATCAATTAGCTATAAAGTTGCACATATTTTGCAGAAATTTAACTTTCGGGTTGTTTATTCTCCCATCAATAAAATTCCGAGTTCCATACTCAAGGACCCCATTCCGGATATGAATTCTTGGGGTATTTATAGGATTCCTTGCCAGTGTGGTTTAATTTGCATTGGCCAAACTAGGAAAGCCTTAAAATTTCCCGTCAAGGAACATAAGTCATATGTTAGAAAAAAGGAAACACATAAGTCTTCTGTTGTTCAACATTGTTGGTCCGAAAATCGCACTTTCAATTTTTCTGCTGCCAAAATTATTCACAAAACATCTTCCATTGGAGAACTGGATTTTCTAGATGCATTTCACATTCAAAAAAATCTTTCTGTTCTTGTTAACGATCCTAATTCCAATCCATCTTTGCCTTTGGCCTTTAAAGAAATTATGTTTTAGATTTGGTTTCAGCAACAGATAGCGCCACTTGCTTATTCTTGTCCAGGCTTTCTTATCTTATCTAATCATTGTTTCCTATCTTGTTCATTTGCGGTTTTGCAGCTGAGGATGGTGGTTCGGTAAAACCATCGAAACTAGTCCTGTGAAAATTTTGAAAATTAACGCTGATTTTTGTTTTTTGACTTCTGAATTAGTATTTATTTGGCGTGTTATTGGGTCTTAATTACTGTCTTATGCTTTGAGCAGTCATATTAGGGTTGCAGCAATTCCAATTATCACTTTACGGAAGGATAAATTTGATACTTATGTAATCATTTTAAACTGTGGTGTCGACTCAGTGGCAGAAATTTTGTTTTCTACGGATAATTGCATCTTTCAAATTGAAAGTGATCGTATCCACCGAAGATATATTTATTATATGGTCATAGTTTAAACATCATGAAGATGAAATTACATATCTTCCCCGGCCTGCATAGTCGCTAGACTTTAAATATCATTGAACTTCTGTGGTCTGTGCCGGAAAAGAACGAGATCCCAGCATCTCTCAAAGAATTAGAGCAGTTAATGTTAGAATAGTACTATTACAAAACACCTAGCC